GCATGAGTGTGGGTGTTCAGGTGTGTTAATGGTCAGTGTTTCGAAACTAGAAATAAGTAAATTCCAGCCGAGTTCTTTACATTTACTTTCGTGCTAGCACTCTAGGGAAAGTTAGCAATCCATCTCTTCTCCCCCAGCTATGGGTTAAATAGAAAAGAAGACGGGATCTTGTTTTTAACAAGTCTAGAAGGAGGAAAAAAATGAATTCAGAAACTTTCGCGCTAGCACTCTAGGGAAAGTTAGCAATCCATTTCTTCTCCCCCAGCTATGGGTTAAATAGAAAAGAAGATGGAATCTCTAGCTTTGTTTCTATCCAGTCTAGAAGGAGGAAAAAGAAATGAATTCAGAAACTTTCGTGCTAGCACTCTAGGGAAAGTTAACAATCCATCTCTTCTCCCCCAGCTACGGGTTAAATAGAAAAGAAAACGGAATCTCTAGCCTTGCTTCTAACCAGTCGAGAAAGAGGAAAACAAAGAATTCGGAACCTTTCGTGCTAGCACTCTAGGGAAAGTTAGCAATCCATTTATTCTTCCCCCAGCTATGGGTTAAATAGAAAAGAAGATGGGATCTCTAGCCTTATTTCTAACCAGTCTAGAAAGAGGAAAACAATGAATTCAGAAACTTATACATCCCTGGCGTTGATACTATGTATAAGGCTATAATTTCAACTGCGATTATGTCCCAGGTATGAGCTAAATAGTAGAAATTGTAGCTGAAAAAATCCATATCTCCCAAAAAGTTGGTAATGCGATATTTAAAAAAAAAAGGATTATTCTTGCAATCCAAAACATATTTTGGCATTAAATAATTTTGCGTTCTGTGTCGTCATTGACTTCAGCACCTCAGACGTCTGCTCCACTTAATACAATGTATAAACGAAAGACCTTTCCTTTTTCGTTTTATTATACAAGAGGGACAGACGGGGAAGCATAAATTCTAGGAGGCAGCGGGAGGACGAACTTCGTTGGCTTAGCATTTCTTCACGTGCCGTCTTGGTCCGTCTGTGGGATCCGAACGTGGAAATCGTATCGACGCTTCAAAATTCTTGCACCATTTTGGTGTTATAGCCTAAACATAGACAAAGGCAATCCATCACTATCCGAATACCACGCCTAGGATGTATTCTAACCAATTGCTCACCATTCTGGCCCAGTCTCGGCATTCTGTAACAATCCCAGAAACTGTTGATAAGCCGTAAAAAAAACAACCCAAATAAAATCAATCAATCAGTATCGCAGTTAAGACAACGAAAGTCCACGACCAGACAAATAAATTCACCTCAATATCGGAATCCTTTTCGACTGAATTTAGTATCTTCAGATTTTCATTTACTTAGATCACTAAATTTATTGGCCAAATCTGTAGAAGGAAGGAAGAGATCAATTCTGTATTATCGGAAATCATTTCGTCTAGAATATTACATTCTTGGGGCAAAAAGTAACGTTCACATTGAGTGTTCATATATGACAAATACCGACAACAAATGTTGCGTTATACCTTGAATGGATCCTTACTTCGTTTCCTTATATCCGATATTGCTTAATAAAGAAGAAAAAAAGTATATATAAGTACTGTTAAGTAGGTTAAACGTAACGCAAAAAAAAAAAAAAAATGGCAGCTAAATGTAATCGAAACAGTTTTTGTTTAATTCAATCAACAAGGACTTTTTTGTTACATTTTTTAATTTTTCAATTCTCGAATTTGCAAAATGCAAATCGGGATAAAAATTATGTATAAAGTGTCCAAAAGTTCATGTTTTGTTGTTTTGCTCCATTATCAAAAACTGGGTGTTATTTGTTGGCTACATCCTGGCATTTTATAAATGTAACATATTGGTACATATATATACCGAGTGTAAAAGCAAAATTGTCCAACTGTTAGATTTATCTTTGAACCGATGCATCTTAGAAATGATTAAAAATATCTTACTGGAATTTTCCGAAGGGTTTATAAAACTATTGGACTGTACTTCAAGCAACAAGAATGTATAATTACTCTCTAAGCTTAACAAAACAATCGTGATGAAATCGATCAGAAACGAAAATTAAATGTTCATTATTAATCAATCATAGATAAGGATCGAAAGATCATGAAATATTGATGTAAAGTTCAAATATATATATATATATATATTATTCCAGGACCAGTTTCCAACTTATTCAAGATGATCTTCGCCCTCTCTAACCTTCTAACTTTCTGTCCTGGAGTAACAAGGTGCCTCAGAGGTTCCACGTACAATTTCATTTTCAAGTCTTTTTTCACTGCTCTATGGACTGTCACAGCTGAAACCCCTCTCTTACGTGCCAAATATCTTATGCAATGGGTTGGATCTGCTCTAATTGATCCATTTAGCTCTAAATTGAAATGATGAGTCCACTTCCTGATCCAGTTTTCATCTCTGCTGTTCACTCTTTTTTAAACTTATTGACTTTTCTTTTGATGGTTCTTGAATTGACCTTGAAGATGGAAACCAGAGTATGAATGTTGGTATCATTACTGAACGTCCAATGATCTTTTTCCGCTCACCATTACTCAGTTGAATATGACATAAAACAATTTTAACCTGCTCTATTTTTAACTGAATAACTCAATGGATTTTTTTTAGTGATTCTTACGAAAAATAGTGTCAAGATGTCTAAGCGTCTTATTTGAAAACTTGGAAAAAAGAAACAATTAGTTTAGTGTCTTTTTTGGATATTAATAATTTTGAGAGATGGATAATTATGCTGTTACACGATTTGGACAATTTTGCTGTTACACGATTTGGACAAATTTGCTGTTACACGATTTGGACAAATTTGCTGTGACGCCGGTATGTAGCTCCCCGTTGATCTAGCGAGACAATCTTGCAAACATTACACCACTTTGAAGTGCCCATCGATTTTCTAAGGTTTTCCTAGTTGTGGCACGAGGTTGAAAGTGTAGAGCACTCACGAAATTAAGCAGATCTAAAAATTTTGAGAGTCTGACGAGATAGATTTTGATTAAAGGTACTATTCAGCCCTGCTGCGATCGAAAAAAAAGTCCTTCGTGGTTGAGTCGGTTAAAGCACTTAGCATCTAACGACGGTTCGTTCTGCTCAGGTGAACGCAGGTTCGGGCCCCGTCATAGAGCGCATAATTTTCTTTAAAAAAATCTTGAGTATTTAGGTCGGTAGATGAAAATACACATGGTCCCAGTCTCGGTAGTAACGGTCCTGTGCCAAACAGTGCAAAACCTGGTAGTATATGGTCCACGAGCATGTAGTAAATGGTCCAAGGCCCGGTAACAAATGTTCAACGTGCCGGTAGAACATGGTCCGTATTTTTATCAGGATATCTGATACATTGGAGCATGCGCACACTGTACCCAGGTCAAAAGCTGTATTTTCATTACCGGTGTTGCAGTTTTTATTTTCCCTGCATGTATTTCTATCTGGGCTGCATCAAGTTCTTCCATCAGCGTGCGTATAAATTGGACCATGAATTTTAAAAAAAATTGGTCCATGAATTTTTTTATAAATTGGACCATGATTTTTTTCAAATTGGACCATGAATTTTTTAAAAATTGGACCATGAATTTTTTTATAATTTGGACCATGAATCTTTTTTAATAGGTTAATGTTTTGCTGACCGTAATTGTATAAAATTTCTTTATTTCCGAATAGGCTTCTACAAAACAAGTGTCTTACTTAAAAATGACTTGAAAGAGTAAATGTTTTGTTAAAGATTCGCACAGATATATATATTTGAGCGTCACCCCGGGGATCAACAAACAACACCTGTTCGCACATAACAGCGCATCACGGAAGGAAGATATAGAAAAAAAATTCAAAGTTTTAAGCAAAAAACGAAAACGTTTTTTTTTTTTTTTAATTTTAAATAATTTTTATGGAATATACAATTTTTATTAAAAGCGGTGTCACAGAAGGCCATAGCGCTTACGGCTATATTACGTTGAAACTCGAGTTCACGTACGATCACCGAAGTTAAGAAACGTTGTGTCTTGTCAATACATTGATGGCTGAACATAAGAGAATACCAGATGCTGGAAGCTTGGATGTTCGGTTGGTGTAACTGATAATGGCTCGGAAATGAGGAATCGGAGAGTTGAGTTCGAGTGGAGCTTGTTTTAATCACTTACATGCAAATACCCATGGTATCTACATATTGTCCCAAAAGCTAGGGGTTATTTTGGAATAAGTTTTTTTATTTAAAAATTACAAAATTTATTTTCTTTTATCTGTGCTATCATAAGCAGACTTTTCTTTCTTTCTTTCTTTATTTCTTTCTTTCTTTCTTTCTTTTTCAGTCTTTTCTTTTTATCTTAATCTTTTCTTTCTTTATATCTTAATCAGATTTCTTTTTCTTTCTTTCTATGTTAATCAGTCTTTTCTTTCTTCCTATCTACCAAACTCAGTCATTATCTATCTATCTATCTATCTATCTATCTATCTATCTATCTATCTATCTATCTATCTATCTATCTATCTATCTATCTATTATGGGATCTTACCCATAATAATAATGGACTATTCCATACTTAATAAATACTGCGCCTCAGGTGTAGGCAACGTGTCAGTCAGTAATTCGAGTCAGTAGTTCAAGTCGAGTCAAGAGTCGAGTCAGAGGCAGTCCGAACAGACAATTACTGCAAGACATTGGAATAGTGATACTGGTCGAGACTACATTGTTCTCTCTACTAAACCTGATTGTTCATACTAACACTTCTACTTATCTGTATATATTCCTGTTTGTAATATATCTGTGTTATTCCATACCTGTGTTCGCGTTCTTCTTTATTGGTTCTACCTTGGACTATCACCATGGTACAAGGAACCGGACCATAACACTATTATAGTCTTTCCTTTCTATCGACCTATCTCAACCAATCTTTTCTTTCTTAGTCAGCCTTTCATTTCTTTCTTCCTTAAGCAGTCTTTTCTTTGTATATATCAACCGATTTTAATCAGTCTTTTCTTTCTATCAATCTTAATCAGATTTCTTCTTTCTTTCTATCTATCAAAATCGATAATAGATAGGTAATAATAGAAAGAAAAGAAAGAAGTGATTAAGACAGATGTAAATAAAGAAAAACCGATTAAAAATGACGGAATGGAAAGAATAAATAATGAAAAGACTTATAAGATAGAGACAAAGAAAAGACTGATTAATATAGATACAAAAAGAAAAAAAGAAAAGACCGATTCAAATAGGTAAATATAATGAAACAACTGATAAAGATAGGTAGATAGACTGATTAATATAGAAAGAAAGAAAGAAAGAAAGAAAGAAAAGACTGATTAAGACAGACAGAAAAGTGTGATTAAAATAAGTTGATGGAACGAAAGAAAAAATGATTATGTTAGGAAAAGAAAGAAAGAAAAAACTGACTGAGATAGATAAGAAGAAAGAAATGAAAGACTGATTAAGATAGGTAGATAGAAAAAGACTGATTAAAGTAGATAGAAAGAAAGAAAGAAAGGACTATTTAAGAAAGAAAGAAAGAAAGAAAGAAAGAAAGAAAGAAAGAGAGACAAGTCTGATTAAGATAGATAGAAAGAAAGAAAAAACTGATAAAGATAAGAAAAGAAAGAAATAAAGAAAGACTGATTAAGATAGAAAAGGTAAAAGAAAAACCAAGAAAAATCAGATTTAGAAAGAAAGAAAGAAAGAAAGAAAGAGCGATTTAGATGTAAATAAGAAAAAAGCTGATTAAGAATGATAGATAGAATGGAAGAAATAAATAAATAAAGAAAAGACTGGTTAAAATAGGTAGATAGAAAAAAACTGGTTTGCATAGATAGATAGATAGATAGATAGATAGATAGATAGAAAGAAAGGAAAAAAGAAAGACTGATTAAGACAGAAAAGTGTGATTAAGATAAATAGATAGAACGAAAGAAAAAATGATTATGTTAGGGAGATCGAAAGAAAGAAAAAACTGACTGAGATAGATGAGAAGAAAGAAATGAAAGACTGATTAAGATAGGTAGATAGAAAAAGACTGATTAAAGTGGGTAGATAGAAAGAAAGAAAGGATTGTTTAAGATAGATAGATAGATAGAAAGAAAGAAAGAAAGAAAGAAAAGTGATTAAGATAGATGTAAATAAAGAAAGAAAAGTGATTAAGAATGCCAGAATGGAAAAAATAAAGAAGACTCATGTTGTTATTGTTAGCAAGCTTGTCTTGCTGGATCAATTTACAACTGAGTGCTCCATAACTTCGACCTTGTGCCTCATTTAAACTCCGCTCAGAAAATCATCATATCCCTCTGTACTTCTTACCTCTCCTTTTTTCCCCCATAAAACAACTTCATTCAATTACCCTCTTCCATGAGTGGCTCTTTTATTTGGTGAACCATAGCATTAAAATACTTATGACTTCAATTTCGAGTGACCTCCCGCAGGTCAATGTAGGCTCTTTGAGTTATACAGTTGTATCCAGCTGACAATTTAACAAAAACGTCAATCGGATCAGAAGGAAGGAAATGGCTTCAGGTACGCTTGTTTTTTTGTAAAACGAATTCATTATAACAAAAAGTAAATATCTATGCAATAACTTCTGATTCATGGTTGGTTTTTGTTCTTTATTGGCTTCCATAGATCCTCTTGTTGTCAGATGTTTCGACTGGTGATCATATCGATCTATTCTTTTGAAATTTTATCCGATAGCGTTTCATACGATAAAACTTTTGCATCTTTTATTTTTAAGTATAAGGATTATTAATTAATTAATTTCTATTTCTATTTCCGTTTTTAGTGTCGAAATCTTTCTCAAGGGCAAAGTTATGCGTTCAGAAGGATTTACAAACAAGCAAATAACACCAAATGAATTTTGTAAGTTAATCAATGTAAAATATTCTTTTTTTTGTTAAAAAATTTCTCAAAAATCAATTCTGTTAATCATTTGGTTCATATTTTAATGTAGTTCTGTTTTTAGAAGGAAATGTAATTTACGAGAATCTTTTTCTTATTAATCTAGTCACCCTTTTTAAAATAAATTGTTTAATTGTCGTTATTTTGTTCTGTATTTGTTTGAATGCTGTTAAGTTTCCTCAAGATTGTAAATAATGACGTCTTTTTAGATTCCAAATGATGAATATATTTTTTTGTTTTCATTGAAGCTAATTCTATCTCTGCCCGTGCAAAATGCGTTTAATACAAAACGGGTTTATTTCTATTTCATTTGATCTTCATTTAATCAATTTTCTTCAAGTAAATGTTCTCAAATGATAGAATAGACAGGCTAATCATATGACTTCACAAGATTTATTTCTGTGACCCGCGTAGAAATTTGGATTTATTTCGTGATTTTCTTTGCGACGCTCCTTGGAGTGAAATTAACAAAACTTCCTACTGTAAATTACGCCACTCTGGTTTCTTATTGGGTAAAAGCTGACATCGATGTTTTTTTTTGTCATCTCGAAAATATCAAGTAAAGCACTAATCTTATATTGGTTTGCAGCTACCTGTTCAACCACTATAACTCACAGGGATCATTTCTTCTGACTGTACCAACGTAAAAGTTCTGATCCCAACCGAAGCCTCTTTGTGTCCGCTGGTAAAAATTGTAAGCTTTGAGGTTAGGTCTTTGTTCACTGACAGAATGAGGCACCATATAACCTCTTTCAAAGTTTGGTTCTCGTGATTACTGGCATCTCTGTAATAGTGTATTAAATACAGTTACGTCCTATCTCACTTCTTTCTTCACACTGTACTTTCTTGATCTCACGTTTTCAAGTGACTCGAGGTGGAGCGACTACACCGAATCAATAGCTGCATCTACTGCAAGGAAAGTTGAGTCACTGTGCCGTGCCAAAAGGTTTTTCTCGTCGGAGTCTATATTGCACATTTACAAATCTATCATTCGCCCATGCATACTGCTGCCGTATCTGGCCTGGTACTCCTTCTATTCATCTCGACGCTCTTGATAAAATCCAAAGACGGATCAGTAATGTAATCGATTTTGACTTGGCATCTGACCATCAGTCATTTTCTCATTGATTTGACGTGTGACGTGACTTCCTTTTGTCATTTCTACAAATATTTTTATGTCAACTTCTTTCAGTAACTTTTTCCCATGGTACCTCGACTACATAAATTTAATCGTACTACTAGATTGGCATCTTGTTGAAAGTAAGATTTACTATTGAAATAGCTAAATGCAACCGCCAATTCTCATCGAACAGTTTCTTTTCTCGCACTTCTCGCCTGTGGAATCCCTTTCCGTTTACTTCTTGCTTCTCTGATAAGTTCAATCTTCAAAGAATTATATGCAACGTCAATCCCCATCTTCTATATTCTTAAATCCCGTTCATCTTTTGCCTTTTTTTCAATCCTCCCTATACTCAGTCTTTTCTCTTTCACTCCCTGTACCCCATTACCCCGCGTGATAGTGGCATTCCTGCCTTGTTTCGGGTGAAATGATTAACGAACCTTAAATGCAACGTCAATCGCCATTTTCTATCATCTTGAATCTCGTTCATCTTTTGTTCTTTCCTCAATCCTCCCTATACTCAGTATTTTCTCTCACTTTCACTCCATATAACCCCCTGCTTTCTGGTGGCATCCCCACCTTGTTTGGCTTGAATTGATTAAATAACAAAACAAAACAAAATCTCAGTTTGAGGTGTTATCATCTTCATGCTGATAAAGCAGAATGTTTTGTTCACAAACTCTCTTCTAACTCAAATCTTGACTCTTCTAGAATATTTTGTAAATGAATTTCGTCGAGGAAACATTGTCAATAATTAGTTTTTGATTTGCGTTTCATCCTATTTTTTTTTTTAGCTTTTCACCCCAAGCAAGGCGGGAAGCCACTGGCATACAAGGGGTTACAGAGGATTTGGAGCGAGAGCAGATAGGAGTGATAGAAGAAAGGATGAGGAGAAGGATAGTGGATAGATCAAGGCAACTGGAGATGTTGATTGATATTACATTTGAAAAGTTGGAGATTATAGCTATCAGGGAAAAGAGAGTTCCACAAGTCTGGTGTGCAAGATATGAAGCTATTGGAGTAGAAGAGACGGCTACATTTAACAGTTTCAACTGTGAAAGGTTGAGAGCGGGATGCCAGCCTCGTAGGACACTTGATTTCATGAAGTCTGGGAGCCAGCGAAAGAAGCTCATCGGAGCAATACAGAATATATTACAACCTCTCCTGAACCATCCGAGTTGAAGTCACTCAATAATCCATCCATCAAAAGAGTTGAGGACTTCAAATATCTTGGATCACACATAATAGATTCCCAAAAAGACTTCAACACCCGCAAAGCTCTTGCATAGGATGCGTGTAACAATCTTTACAACATTTGGCTTTCGAAACTTCCATCCTCCTTAAAAGTCAAAATTTTTCAGACATTGACTGAACTAGTCCTACTGTATAGATCAGTAACTTGGACGTAATGTGTTCGTCTTGAAAAACGACTGGATGGAACATATACAAATCTACTTAGAAAAATCCAGAACATCAGCTGGAGATATGCAACGATTGACACAATTTACGGAGAACTAAGAACAATCTCTCTTAAGCTGAAAAAGTTTGCCGGCCACTGACACCGAGCGGACAGGGAAATCGTCTCATCCTTACTTTTATGGCATCATTCTAGAAGTGTCTTCTCACAAAAGATTGACTTTCCCAGACACAATAGATCAGGACTCAGGATTGGACATTAAAGATCTGGGGACAGCAATAGAGGACCGAACAGTGTGGAAAGAGATTGTTAATAGTGTTCCGACCAAATACAGGGAGTTAGACGGCAATAAATGCCGGATAATCTTCTTACAGATAAGGAATAGGCTTAAGGCAACAGAAATAAGAATCCCACAGACAAAACATGTGAGTACGGCTTACGGTATTATCACGTTCAAACACCGGTTCTCATATAATCACCGTGGTTAATTAGTATCTTGATGGGTGTATAGCTGGCCACTCGTATTCGAGGATACCCGTCTACCAGTGCGACTAGCCAATCCCTATTGCATACGGTTGCGCAGGCGCATTTTTGTGGTTTATACTTAGACCTTAGTTACAGTTTCTGGGAAAGAGCGTGTTATTTAGTGTGATCAACAATTTGAACAGCACACTCAAGCCCTCGGTAACGATGACTTGTGACTTCGTGCTAGCACAGCTATAGACTGCCCTCGAGGGTTCCATCTACCCGATTTCACTCACAAGGCTTGGGTCAACACATGGTATGCTTTTTGCACGCTGGGATCGACCCCTCCTGTCCAATAACATCACGAAGTCTCTTTCCTGACAAAGACGACCATGATGAGATTCGAACCCGAGTCTTGTGGTCAGAATGCGAACGTTCTAACCACTCGGCCACGTACCCATATAATACCATGTGAAGATGCAGTAAGTTTGGATGCGCGAGTGTCGTAATGGAAAATGGCCCCGAATTGTTAATGTGAGAGCCATTACCAGTTGGGTTCATTATACTGATTTACACACAAATACCCCTAGGAAAGTTATGAACCCACCACTTCTCCCCAGCCATGGATTAATTAGTAAGACTTGCATCACCAAATCATTATTATCACTAAAAATAAATAAAGAGAAAATTAAGGGTAATAATAATAATAATAATAATAATAATAATAACATGAAGTATCATAATATAAAATAGCAATGAATAATAAAAAAAATAATAAATATACTGTAAATTGCGACGTATAAGTCGGAGTTACTTTTCCATCACCCTGTAGGTGGTTTTAGTTGCTTGAATCATTTATTGAGAAATATTCAAAATGTTTATATATTATTTTAAGACGCTCTGTATATAAAGTTCTTTAAAAATGGCGGCAATGAGATTCAGTAAAGGAAGAGAATGCAGGTTGTCAGATCCTAGGCCACATTATTCCCTCCCTTTACGATCACAAGTTACTTCCAATTAATCTCCATTCTGAATTTTAGTAATTTGTTTTTTCGTCATTATTCTTATGATTGAACTTCCATCCCATTTCCTCTTCTGGGGTTAAAATTCCCTGCCTCGGTGTCCATGTGCCACCCGTTTGAGAATCACTGGAAGAGAGAAACAACTGAGATATTTTATTCATAATTTTTTTTTCATATTTCTTTCGTAGATATTTCTCAGTTTTCTTATCTGATTTGACTAGTGTACATTTAAAAACAACATTTTTTACCTGGAAAATTTTGATATATCTTCTTATATCATGTTTTTTTTTATTTCTTCAAAAAAAAGATGCAGTGGCATGCGAAACAACTCTAAAAAAATGAAGAAAATAATTTAATCGACATTTTTTCTGACAAACATTTAATGGAAGCTTAAAAAATATCACGTTTTTGTGTTCCTGTCTCATTTGATCCCAAAGGAATTATTATTTTTACTTTTTCAATAACAGTATATACATGGTGATTGAAAAATAACTCCCTATTTTATGTATCATGGACTCTCCCGTCTAACTATAATTTTTACAAGACGGAAGAGTCCATCATACATAAAATAGGGAGTTACTTTTCAGTCACCCTGTAGATTTGCCTGTCGCCCGGCTTACACTTCTTCC